CTAAAGTTTAAAAGAGTTTAAATTATACTTTAACCTCAGCCGGCTTTGATTTAAATAAATCATCAAATAAATTTAAAAAAAAATTTTTTTTGCTATGGATAAATTGCCACCTGTTTTATTAAGTTTTCTAAAAGAACTGACCAGCAAAAGGTCTGTGTAGGTGTCTTGCAAAAAGTAAAAATATGTTGTTTCTTTATTTATTTGATGATTTATTTAAGAAAACAAACACTTTCTGTTTAAATTATAAAGTTTAAAGGATATTTTAAACTCAGCTGGCTTTGTATAAATGGCCACCTGTTGTATGTGGTTTTCTAAAAAAACTGACCAGCAAAAGGTCTGTGTAGGTGTCTTGCAAAAAGCAAAATAATCTTTTTTTTATTTTTATGATTTATTTAAGAAAACAAACACTTTCTGTTTAAATTATAGCTTTATCCCAATGTACAGAATAGGTGAACATAAAAGCAAAATGTGGCGTGGTTTCAAACATTGCAAGTTAAAGATAAGCAACCTTGGTTTTGCTCCTCACATATCGAGAGGGGATCTGTTTCCAGAGTATTTATTTGTTTTAGCTCATTCCTGCAGAGCTCTCCCTCTGACTCGCTGCCCCCCCCCCCCACCTCCATCATAGAGACCCCGGTGACCCTGCAGGTGCCCGGGCTGCAGAGGCTGCAGACCTCGGGCCTGCCCACCGCGGTGCTGTGCCTTCTGAACATGGTGATGCCGGAGGAGCTGGTGGAGGACGACGATTACGAGGAGATCCTGGAGGACATCCGGGAGGAGTGCTGCAAGTACGGCAGCGTCCGCTCCATCGAGATCCCCCGGCCGGTGGCCGGCGTGGAGGTCCCCGGCTGCGGAAAGGTACAGACGCCAGTCCAGACCTGTCCATGTTCAGAGGTTGCTTTTAGTCCAAATCAGGACTCTTAAGCACTTTAGAACAGCCAATTTTAGTTCAAATCAGGACTCTAAGCACTTTAGAAAAGCCTGTAATAGGAAAGCTATTTAACTCATTGACTGCCAGAGTTTTTTGAGCATTTTGACTGATTTTTCAAGAGCCACAGAATAGTTTGTGCTATGACTACGTAAACACCGAACACAGCAAAAGAAAGAGTAGACTCTCTTCTTTCATCAGGAAAAAAAATGTGTTACTTAAGAAAAGCCTGTACTAGGAAAGCTATTTAATTCATTGACTGCCAGAGTTTTTTGAGCATTTTGACTGATTTTTCAAGAGCCACAGAATAGTTTGTGCTATGACTATGTAAACACCGAACACACCAAAAGAAAGAGTAGACTCTCTTCTTTCATCAGGAAAAAAAATGTGTTTCTACCTTATTCCGTTCTTCCTGGACTTGCGTCTCACCGGCGACATGTTCTCTCATAGAACCGTTCCCTTTTTCTTATTTGCCTACAGTCTATGCTCATCTCCCATCAAAAGTGGCACTGCCCCCTAGAGGGTCAATTTGTTACTACATACTCTGTCTAGAAGCCTGTAATAGGAAAGCTATTTAAACACTGATCTGGGATTTTCCCACTGCTTTCATGGAGACTTCTTTTTAAAGAAAAATCTGCTCAAAATTAAGTAGAAATCTCTTTGTCGTGTAGAAGTTTTTCTGTTCTTTTGACAAAATGAAGCCTGATACTGTTTATTTTTGCCTTTTTTTGTCCTTAAAGAAAAAAAAACAATATAGAAATCAACTTTTTTTTAAAAATTTGCATCTAATGTAATGCCAATATTTTTTGCAGTTTTTCCATAAACTGAAAATGCAAAATATCAATAAATACTGATAAACAAGAGTTTTTATTTAGGTTTTAACCATGCAGTGATTAAATAACTCTCAGAACAAATGAAAGAATCTCCGATTCTACATTCATTTGTCTCTCTCCTCCCTTTATTTTCTCTTTTTCCCCCTCTCAGATTTTCGTGGAGTACGTTTCTGCTGCAGACTGTCAGAAAGCCATGCAGGCGCTCACCGGCCGCAAGTTTGCCAACAGAGTGGTGGTCACCAAATACTACGACCCCGACATGTACCACAGGCACGAGTTCTGACAGCCTTCGTTCTGTTCGTCGTTTAGACGCCACACCCGGAAAAAAGACTCAGCTCCTGCTCATTTTAACACCCTGGACCCCAGTGTGAGTTCCCTCAAAGCTGAATTACTCCCCGCCTTTGCGCAACACACAACCTGAAATAAGCCTGAAATGTACATTTGCAGTATCTAATCTGACGTGTATCTAATCTAACGTAATACTGCCTGACAGAGCCAGAATGCACTACTATAACAGAAAAAACAGTCAAATGTTTAGATTTTCTTCCTTGAGCACAAAAAAAAAGCCATCCTGGTGATTTTTATGTGGCTGCGCCAAATTTATATTTTATTATTAATTTATTTATCTGTTTATTTATTATCCCAAAGTAACATTTCCTGCTGTATGCGCCACGTTAGTGTTCATAAACCTATAAATGCTGTTAGCTGTGCCGCTTCCGTAGACAAACCGTCGACTTGTTTTGTCAGAATTTAAATGGATTTTGTTAGATTAACCTCTACAAAGGGACTTTTGTAAACGTAGAATAGTTTTTCTGAAAAAAAACAACATTTATTTGACTGGGAAGACTCTGCGAGCAGCATGAATTAGCAAAAAGACACGCGGGGAGATTCAATTAGAGCAAAACGACTGGTTCAAGCCCTCTTTGTTTGGATTTAAGTTGGAGCTTCTTAAAGTCAAAGAGGGATTCCTCATGGCATCTTAAAGGTTTTTCAAAGGATCCGAGGCCCGTTTTGGTCCGAGGCTGTAGCTGATGTTTGTTGGTGCAGATTCTCATTCACCAGGTCCTGGTGACCCTCAGAGTCCTGAACTTCTGCTTGGATCTTAAAGGCGTTTCTCCTCTCAGCCTGGAGGCTTCTTCAGTTCTAAGCTACATAGTGGAGGATCGGCTTAAAGCAGCCCCCCAGACCATGAGTTAGCAATTCTACCTGTAGATGGTCTAAATGTCTAAAAGGTGAGTTTTGGTCCCAGTCCAAGCTGGGAAACCTCCTGGGAGGAGCCAAAAGGTGATTCCTAAACCCCTTTCCTCTCTTAAAAAATGGCCCTCAAAGCATCCTGCTCTTCTGTTCAGATGTGGACATTACTGTCCTCCCAGGGTGTCTTCTCCCTCAGATGGAGAACTGCTGAGTCATGGCCTCCGAACTACCAGCTTCATAGTCAAAACCAACCACCACATCAAGCACATTTAAATAAAAAACCCAGATCCTATTAAGCTAACGTAGCTATTTAGATAAAGTGAAGCTTTGTGAGGTGTTGGCGCATGTGAATGCATTCACACCGCCTCTGTAACTTTATCCAAACGTCAGGACTACTAGTTTAGTCTCTGCACACACACAACTTCCCCGGTGACTTTGAGAAGTACCATTCATTCAAACCTTTAAAATGAGCAGCTGAGAGCTGCTTCTGTCTTCAAGAAGACTGAAATCAAGCTGAATCAGCCCCCGTTTGAGTCCAAATCCATCTGAGCTCCTCGTTCTTAAACTCCTGGTTTCCCTTTAAGGTGAAGCAGGTGTGGCACATGTTGAGAAAAGCACCTGCAAATGATGTAGCTGGAGCACCGGTGAGGAGATTTATAAACATATATGAAATGGAAGCTTAAATTATCTATATAATGTTTAATCTGCAAGCCGATGATCCTGGAATGAGCCTCTGTTTCGTGTTTATCAGCGTAATAGGCTGAACATATCAACTCATGATAAACTACTGTATTTTATACGATTTTTGAAGAGCCGAAAAGGTCTGATTATTTTTAGTTTGTACAGTTCTGCCACTGCCATTGCCTTGAATAAATGCTTGCCTCCACTGTCTGGATGCTGATGTGTCTTTATTTCCAGCTAGTTATATCTATTAATTGAGTTGTATTTAAAAAAATAACACAAGTGAGAGCTGTTTTTTGTCCTTAAAAAATCCACCATCTGCTTTACATGTTTAAATATTACAATTGTTATTTTCTAATGTGATTTCATTTTCATTTGTAATTAGATTTGCCTTTAAAACCAGCATTTCATGTATCAATCAGCATCCATATGTTCATATATGTTTTCCTTTTTTTAGGTTGTTTTTTAATTCTCAAAAGGCTTATGGGTATGATTGTGCTGCTCAGTGCAAAGCTATATCTACAGTATATACAGATACAGATACCATGAATGACAGAAGCAGGAGTACAATACAGTGTGACAATAGAGAAGATCTGAAAAGGAGTCAACCAACCACGGATCTAAATGTAGAGGAGAGTGATTACTGAGAGGAGGCAGCTGAGGAGCACAGGTGAAGGGAAAGGAGCTGATGACCATCCAGGAGGGGCCTCAGGAAACCACAGGAAAACACAAATAATTTAGTTTTCTATCAAAATCACTAACACTTCAAGAGATGAAGGGACATCAATAACTTTTGCTACCAGATGCCTAACAGGAGCCAGATAAACTGAGCACATTACTACCCTAAAATGTTCTAATCTGAAATGTTTACTTTAATGTGATTAGACAATTTTAAGGTTAAACTCAAGACTACTTTTTCCTCGTGTCATTCTTTCGTCAAATTTTACTGCACTGTTTCCACTTTGTTTTTGCCTTTAATCCTTTTTCTGCCAAGTACATGTTTAAATCTCTTACGTGGATTTATTTCATGTTCATGCTTTTGTAAAGCACTTTGAGTTCACCATGTGTACCAAATGTGCTGTAAAAATAAACGCGATTCGCTTGTAATTACTTCTAATGGACAACAGGTGGCGCTAATTAGACATTTGGTTGGCGGGGAAACTTCTCCCACATTTGGTTTATATTAAACAAATATCAAACGCAAAATTTCTCTATTTATTGGCATACATTAAATAGTATCTGCTACCTTAATTTTAGTTATTTTCAGCATAAGAAAATGTTTTGTTTTTTTTGGGACCGGATATGCAATGGTAATTTATGCGTGACGTCAGAGGACGCGGCCATGACGCCGGTCGTCAACAGCCCCGGTTTGACAGATGTTCGTCGGGGGGAAAGTCGCCTCCATTCAGCGCCGAGCAGCGGACGACGGCGACGGAGGCTCGCTTTTGGATTGTTTTTCGCCGCACCGACTGAAACATGTCCGGGGAAAAGGCGACCACCTCCTGCAACAAGTTCCAGGCCAACGTGTTCAACACGAGCAAATGTCAAAACTGCTTCAAGTCCCGCGAGCTGCATCTCCTTGGCGACCGCGACGTGGAGCAGGTACGTGACCGTTAAGGATGCAACCGTTACCGTTAACCCCCAACCGTTTTACGTTTAAAAACTCTCACTCATTCATTGCAAACCTTTGTCAAAAATTGGCATTCACAGTTTTTTTTAAATACATTTTTAGGTGAATTCATATGTAAAATACCGAGTAAACGCGTTTCATTAAAAAAAAAAAAAAAGAATTTGCTTGATAATCGATGGAGAAATTGAAGTTACTTTTGGTTCATTTATTAGCCCAAAGAAGGGATTCTTTGACTGTTTTACTTGCAAATGAATGTTTAAATACTTCTAGAGGATGTTTTCATGAACATGATGAGTAGCAGAAACTTTTCTTTGAGAGTGCCAACAACGTCATTGTTAAAAGGATATTATGGATATTTTTAAATTGGAGAGTGATAAATCAATTACACCAAAACAGTTTAAATTAATAATAAACATTGGGTTATAAAATTATCCTTTCAACATTTAGTTTGAAAGAAAATACACTTAATAAGACTTCTTTAGTGATAAACCTTCCCCACAAAATTACCCAAAATTAAAACATGCATTTTGGACCTCATTGTCTGGGCAAATGAAGACATCATCTGGACATGGATGAAGGTTTAAATTATTTAAATATTGACTTTAAAGACAGTAAAGATACTGACTCAGTGCAACACGGTAATACTTTCAAATGGAAATAAGTTCATTTTTAGATAACAGAGAGAGAAACCCTCCCTCATTTAATGGATTCCTTTGTCAACTATATCTAAAAAGAACAAACTCACAGCTCTCAATTAAAATGTCTGGGTTTAATCTGAGCTGTATTTGGCCCCTAAAAGCTTTTTGACGCTTTGTGCATCCATATTCCCAACATTTTATAATAAACATTAGAGTATTTCATCTTCATTTAAACCAGGTTTCATCAATCAGTGGATATAAGTTTTGGGGAAATTTCTTTATGAACAAGCTGCCCTAGTAGCTGAACAAAGTGATGTGTGTCTGTGAAAGTGTTTTTATAGCTTCATTTGTCACATCTGAAAAGCAGGTGATAAAAATCCTGTGGCTTCCAGGACGGGAAACCAAGCTTCTGCATCACCCAGACGGCAGCTCCCCCAAGACAGCTAATGATTATTAAGATTTGTCAAACCTCCTCATCTGTTCTAAATCTTCAATCCTTTGATTATTCTAAGAACTGAGAAGTAAAATCACCAAGTGCTGTAGTGTAAAAAGTCCTTTGTTCAGCGTCCCGGAGCAGCAGAATTATCGTCAGCCGAGTGCTCTTAAAGTGTTGAGCGAACAAAGTCTTCTTTCAGACTAAAGACGCCTACTGCTTTGCTGCATAATTAGATTAACACTGGAGCAGGATAAGGAGTTTACACCGTTAACTGTGGCTGGGTTCGCTGTGTTGAGGAGGCAAAAATACATTTTCAGCCTCTACTGGACTTGGATGGATGTCAAATATAGTTTCTGACGCAGAACGTGGAGTATCTGAAACGGGTATTTGAATTGTTACCCCATAAGCACCTCCTTGTTTTATTATTTATAAATCTGTTCAGTCATTTTGCTTTAGATTATCGAAAGAGACGAGTGCTTTTTGAATTCCTGAGAAGCCCTAAGCAGTGGTTTCTGTCTAAAAACAACCAGCTGAATGTCCGTTAAATGGTGAAAACAATGAAACAATGATGCTCTAACCCTACATTTCAGCAGAAATATTTATTTTGCACGTGTTTGCTCTCCGCCCTTTTAAAACCTGGTGCTGCTGGCCTGTCATGCACAGGTGATGTGAGGAGACGTGCTGCATGCCTCGCATTGTTGCAGTATGCTATCACAGCCCGTGCCTGGATCCCCGCTCTGTAATTACCGAGCTCAGTTTTACTCTGACAGAGCTGGAAACGGCTCTGTTTTTTCACGTGTTTACCTTTCAGAGAGAATCACCTGACGCGTGAGGCTTCAGGACGTCTGGGTTTGTGTAGATTGAGAATCTTAATAAGTGATGTATTCAGTCTGAGCGGCTTTCCATTCGCTTATCAGACCAAGAAAACATCTACATGTGAGAGTCTGAAGGCCAGGAACAAGACTTTTGATGGCTTTCGGTTGTCTCAACCGTCAGTTTAATTATTTTAGTTTGCACTAACAGTCAAGTGGAGACCAACAGATTTCCCAGATTATAATAAAGAAACAAATTACTGTTGTTTCTAACTCATTCAGACAGGCTTCTGTGCTCTGATCTGGAAGACTGTTTGTCTGGAAATGTTGATGTTCACCTTCACCAGAAGTCAACAGTTCGTTTGCTGCTGATTGGGTTAATCATACCAATAATTAATATATTCTGATAAGAAAACTGAAGGCTGTAGTAAATCAACATTTTCTGCTTTCTCCTTTAAAATATGATAATTTCCCGCTCATGTTGTTTGATAATGATTCTCATTAAAAATCGACGTTCGGCTTTAAGGGAATTAAACGTTTTAAATAAAAAGTAACATTTCGAGCAGCCCAAAGATCAGAGAAGAGAGAGAGAAGAGAAAAAGAAACCTTCCCTCTGTTTGAGGGCCCTGGTGCCTCAGCGGGTTTGGCAGGTTGTGAGCCTCCAAAGAGTCGTCTGTATTTCTGTCAACAAGCGACATCCAAAGTAAATGAAAGGATGCTTCATCTGAACGACACCTCATTGCACACTTCCTGTGTTGGCCCTGATGTGTATTTTTACCCTGAAATAATGTTTGCTGTTGTCTTTCCCGCCAGGCGAAGCCCATCTACTGCAGCTGGCTGTGTTTGGCCCCGGTGGGCACAGACTTCGACAACCCCGTGCAGCGCTCCCGGGTAAGACTTTAGTGGGTTTCAGCCCCCTTCCCCCCAAAACCAGCGGTGTGGTGACTCTGTTCCTGTGTTGTGGTGTCAGAAATGGCAGCGGCGCTTCTTCGTCCTGTACGAACACGGCAGCCTGAGCTACGCCCTGGATCAACAGGTGAGAAACTCCCGGTTGGGACCGGCTTCACTAGTCCCGTGCAGGGCTCAGGCGGCCATCTTTAGGCCAGATGTTGTGTGCAGAACCACGGCAGATGCTTTTGGCTTAGCCGCTTCTTTAATGCCGCCCCCTCTTCCTCGCTGTGATCCCCTCCGTTTTAATTCCCTCATCCCTCATTCCCCGAGCTGCCTGCTGTTCAGCTGCCATTAATCCGGCTGTCAGTCTTGGCTTGGAGTCGCAGTAAACATGATTCTTTAAAGGGGACATATTATGCAAAACCAAGTTTTCAATCATTTGATTATGTACATTTGGGACTGTGGAGGGCCTATCAGCAGGCAAAGTGTGAAAAAAAAAGACTCATTTTTGTGGGCTGCCTCAGTCTGAATCCAGGAGATAAATCAGGAGGTTTCAGGAGTGGGTAGTTTCTGACGTCATTAGCTCTAGCTCATTATAATATTCCAGCCTTTCACCTGCATGTTGCCCCCCCCCCCTCAGCTTACTCCGCCTATCTGTGGCAGACGTCGTGGTAGCGTGAGCGTTAGCATGGTAGCGGTAGCATGGTAGCGTTAGCGTGCCGACATGGGCACACCTCCCGGAAGAAGTGGGTGGATTGCCTGTGTCTCATTTGCATTTAAAGAGACAGGCACTCCAAAGCGAGCGCTCTGAACGGGGCTGTTTTGGCAGGGGGACTGAACTGCTATTGGGCTTCATCCTTATGGGATTTTGACCAAAGCTTGTCACAGACATTACATTAGGACACCAGGGAACTAGTTTAACTTGTTGAAATAGGGTATTTAATGTGCTGTGACCCCGGTGCTCTGGTTCTCCCGCAGCCCAGCACGCTGCCTCAGGGGACGGTCAGCATGAGTCTGTGCACAGATATCTCCGACGCGGAGTCCCGGACGGGCCAGAGAAACGCCCTCTGCATCAAAACCCCGGAGCAGGAGATATTCATCCGCGGTGACAACAAAGAGATCATTAACGGGTCAGCACCCCCTCCCACTCCCCCTCCACTGAGACCTTCCAGGAGCTTTAAGGGTTGTGTCGGCCGCCTCTGACCGGCCGGATGTCTCTGTCCTTTTCAGCTGGAGGGAACAGCTGTCCGCCTACCTGCGCACAAACAAACACAGCCAGAAGAAAAAGCGGAAGGTCGAACCCATCGCCAATCAGGTAGCTTAAAAAATGCCCGCGGTTCACACGTAAACATCAGATCCGGCGTTTTTTTTTTTTTGTAGATATGTTTATTGATTTTTTTGGGTTTAATAATAACAACAAAAACAACAACAAAACACAAAACAAAAGCTCAGCAGTGCAGTCCAGAGATAAGAGGAAATATAAGATGGGGGGCATACATACTTCCATCGTTGTATAGTACACATCTAAACATTCATAAATGCTCGAGACAGGATGGTAGACACGTGTCCTTCAGCATAGTCCAGGAAGGGCTTCCATATGCGTCCAAAAATGTCAGTCTTAGAGTGGACGAGGCATGTTAGAAAGTCTAGAGGGATATATTCCAAAATGAGCTTCTTCCACCCAAAAATTGTTGGAGATTTATTAGAAATCCATTGTAAGATCCGGCGTTTTAATTCGCTATTTTCAGGCTGTTTAAAATGATATTGAAACATGAAACGGAATGAAAGAAAAAATAAAAAGTGTTTTCCATTTTTAGGAGCCAAGCCCGGCAAAGATGGCCGCAACCGATCTGAGCTTTGCGCCCACTGAAGGAGCCTCAGAGGGGACCCCGGTCAGGACCAGCACAGATCCTCAGGGTCCGGAGTGGATCCCTGCCGGTACAGCACAAGTCCAACACTCTCAGCCAATCACAGCCACTGTCCTAACACCCTGCAGACGTCCACAGACTTGCAGCCTTTTATTTGGACTCTGTGCTTTAGCCCCGTGGAGCGGGTACAGACTCGCTGCCGTGGGAACTGGCTGGAGGAGTTTGTTGTTTGAACAGGATGTAGACTTACATAAACACAGCGACAGAAACGCAGTGAGAGATGAGCAGGAAATTCTGAGTCTCTGACCCTCAGGCATCATTAAAGCCAAGCTGCAGACATGATCCATAAAAGAGCTCTTAAACGAGTTCTAAAAGCTGGACAGTGGGGTGGTCCAGCACCCATCTGGCTCCAGACTTAAAGCAGGTCTGATGTCTGCTGCTGCCTTGGGCTCCATCAGAGGAAGAACTGCTCAGTCACTGTGTCTGCCTTCGTCTCAGTTCTTACCCTCACATATTAGCTACTTACTACTTCCATAAAATTCAGAAATCTTGAATCAGGTTTGTTGAGCACAGCCTTAATAGAAATCTAGACCTAGAAATCTGAACAGAAAGTCTGAAATCTACATTTTTAATGAATGTCATCGTGTTATTTCTGGTTGTAGAGTTTTTCCTTTAGTGATTTGAATGGGGATTAACAGCAGTTTGAAGGACTTTTTACAGGATTTAAGAAGCTTTTCTCTTCAGTTGTTATGTTCTCAGTCCCTCCAGCAGAGGTGGAGTGAATCCAGCCTTATTTCAGATCCAGGCAGAGATTTCCATCAAAGGCAGTTACCAACATGCCGCATACAGTTAAGGTTTTCCAATGGTGTTAAGCTCTGTGAGGTTTTCAGAAAACCTTCAGGTTAGACGAGGCTGTTTTTAGCTTTGGAATCGCATCTTTCTCTGAAGGCGTTTAGCAGGTTTGCAGAACCTGGATCGTCTTTTTGACTGAAGGCCCGAGCAGCATTTCCCAGGTTAGAGGATGATCACCGCTTTATGGTTAGGCCCTCCTCTTCTTCCTTGTTTGCTTGTGGCTGTTGCAACATGTTAAATGTCAAAGAAGTTTGGTTATGTTTTCAGTCAGGATTACGTCTAAACATGTGTTCCTCTCTCCTGTGCTGATGTCTTCTTTGTCGATTCACGATGATGTCACTGTTATTAGTCTGTGAGCCGAGTCTAAACAAAACGATAAATGGTTCTGTTGATGCTCCCATGGGAACGTTACGCCTACCCATCAACAAGAGAAACCGTTCCTCTAAAAGTCTGCACGCAATATACTTAACAAAAACTAAGACAAAACGGATAAAAGTGGGAAAACGAAATCCCCCCGTCGACTGGGCAGCTGGTAGGAGCTCCTTTAGGAGCGGGAAGCGTCTGGATGACGTTATCGTTCCTTCACGTGGTTTTGGAGGAATTTTGGCCCACTCTTCCAGGGTTACTTCAGATCTTTGACATTTGTGAGTGTGGACTTCAACAATCTGTTCTTGTTGTATTTACCTCGTTTCCCGACCTGTTGCAGACCAAAAGAAGGGAAAAGAGTATCCTGTAAGAGGTCACATCACGATGCTGTTGGGACGAAAAATGATCTAAAAACATCTTATACACCATCTGCTATTTTTTCCCCCCAATATATTTATTGATTTTTTTGCATTGCATAACAATTCAAAATAGAAGATTAACACATAACACCCCCCCACACACACAGACCTAGGCTAAACCCGCAAATTTCACCTATATACAACTTAGCTTAAGAAATGTATACATTTGAAATCAAGTACTCCAATGTAATAAGGATACCGCTAAAAAATATAATGAAAAACAAATAAATGAAACATAAAAAAATACAGAACAACTTAGAATAAATAAACATTATATCTCAGACTCGATAATGCTCATACACCATCTGCTATTTAAAGGTCCAGTGGAGGATATTTTTATCTGTTTTGTGATGAAGGTGCAAACGGATAAGGCTTTTAGTTTAGTGGCAGAGACTCTGTATTTCTTCCTTCCTAAAACAGACACAGACACATTATGGTGGATTGGTCTCCCTGCCCTGCGGATACAAACCTCATAAGCCCTTTCTGTGATGTGTTTTCCCCCCCAGGCAGCGGCCCTCCGAGCAGCTCTGCCTTCGACTCGGTTGTTGGGAGCTCCGGACAGATTCAGGGCGAGGACAGGAGGTAGGAGAGTAATCTGTGAAGGGGGTTTCTGTTTTCAGCAGGTTTCAGAACAATGTGGGTGAATCTGTGACGGAGCCGTGGGATTCCGAGCAGTATGGTTTTTATTTTCTCTCCTACGTTTCCATGTAATCTCTGGGTGACGCTGACAGCCACTTAAAGAGGGAAAAAGGGGTAAATGTGCAAGCAATTAGCACAAAGAACATCCCCTGTGCCCCCCCCCAGCATGAAGCCCAACACACCGCTAAACGGCGGATCAAAGGGCCGCGCTACCCCTCCATCAGACATCGGACCGCTGCCTTTTTTAAATTTAGCTGCAACAAACCCTCCCAGTTTGTTCCCCAGCAGCAGGGGGACGGCTCACATGAGGAGGATTCATGTCAGCTCTTCACTCTCGTTGCCTTTTTGGGAAACAAAAACACAAAATACTTATCCCCCCCCCAAATAAGGCCATAAATTCCAAAAGGCTGGTGTAATTAGATATCTGCTGCCTTGTTTCTCATGACCTCAACGCTGACAGTCCGCATGCCTGTCAGAGAGTAGAGCTCAGTCCACGCTGGGTTTTTGGGGTTTGGAGGTTCTGCTGGGACCCCCTGTGTCCTGCTCAGAGACTGCCCGCCTCAGTCTGTTCCCTCCAAACTCAGACAGGTTTTCCTCACTTTGGTAGAAGGCCACAGCTTTTATGTTTACGTTTATGCATTTGGCAGACGCTTTTATCCAAAGCGACTTACAGAGTAGACACAATATCACATTTCTCATCACTATGACAATAAGCTATATAGAGGAGAAACACTGATCAGAGTCAGTGGTGAGATAGAGATAGAGGTAGAGGAGACTACAAAAGGAGCTGTGGGGAGATAGAGGTTTTATACACTGACCTCCATCTCCGAGGGACAAACTCCATTTTACTGCTGTGGGATGTTCACATAAACGATCAGCGTGGGTTTATCTTCCGATGTTAGATTCGTGCTATGACTAGTACTGATGGTATCGGAACAGGAGAGGCAGACTAGTGTTTTCCACTGAACCGTGCCTGACGTTTGTAACAGAGCGAACCGATCCGCCGAGCATTCAGAGCGTTGATAGTTGATAATCGCATGGTGTTCGGTGACTGGGGAAACTCTCCGTGCAGCTTTTTCCGCCGGTGCTCTCAGTCTTTGACGCCTGCTGTCATCCTGCACAAAGCCCCTCTCGCTAGTCTCTCAGCAGCAGTTTTTCTTCTGCACAGGTGCTGTTTAGGGCTCATTATCAGGCTCGGCGTTTTACAGGTGTTACAGGAAATGATGAAGGAGCTGACACACATACTCACACACACACACACACACACACACACACACACACACACTCACACACACAAACAGCTTGTTTGTTCTCAGGAAGATACCTTCCAGGAAGTTTGTTTTTGAGCTGATGCCTTGACAGGCATCAACACTGGTATTTGTTCAGTGGCATTTGCTTTTCTGCAGGGGGGGGTGCAGTGCATTCTCAGATTGTAATGAAAATGAAACCATGTCATCATGTCTTATTTGTTCATTTATTTTCTAATTATTCTCAGCTATGAAGTCCAAACCAAAAACTTGGTCAAATGAAGAAGACGGTGCTGTGGACTGAGATCTTAAGTCATTTCTTGTGTTTTCAGGTCTGCAGAGCCAGTCACCAGGAAGGAGCGCGTGGGGGGGGCAGCTGTCCCCAGACAGGGCCGGATGGAGACCCGCACCAGCAAGAGAGAGGTAACCACGCCACACCCACCCAGCGTGGTCACCACCACCACAGCCCGGGCAGGTCGAGGTGTCGGGCAGAGGCCACTCTGCTGGATCTGATTATCTGAGTGGCAGGTCAGACGGGTTCTGACATATTTCACCACTTTGTTTATGTTTATGCATTTGGCAGACGCTTTTCTCCAAAGCGACTTAAAGAGTAGACACAGTATCACATTTATCATCACTATGACAATAAGCTATACAGAGGAGAAACACTGATCAGAGTCAGTGGTGAGATAGAGATAGAGGTAGAGGGACTACAGAAGGAGTTGTGGGGGGATAGAGGTACGGGTTAGGGTTAGGATAGGATGTGATCACCTCAAAGTGAGAGCCAGAGGGAGTCTCCCACTTCCTCCAGGAGCTCTTCCAGTTCATGGAGCATGTTGTCATTCTTCTCACATGTGACAATTTGTAACTCCAGTTGTATTTGCTTTTCATAGCCTAAAAGAGCCTGTTTGTTTTTGGGTTGCATGATTCCGGATTTATGTAACACCCCGTGGTGTTATGTTTCAGCCAGTAAACGACCGACCAGTTCAGCTTGTTCTGACATACAAATATTTGCTTTATTTCTACTAATAACACGAGAAGCTGGATGCCATGGCAGTGAGCGGACACTTAAAATCACACCGATGCCATATCTGGCTGCTCTGTGGAAAAAGCCTGATGTCATGTCATTTCCAAAGAGCCCCTCTCATGTCTAATCGGTGCATTTTTGTGCTGGTAGATGCAACGGCTTACTAACGTCAGCGTCTGAGAATAAAAACCGAATACCTGACCGAGCTTGTTTGTTTCCAGATGACGGTAACAAACCATGAGCATGTAGTTCTGACTAATGCTGCTGTGGTTGTGTAATGATTAAGACCAGTTACTGTGTCCAGCTGTACTCAGACTGGCTCTGGCTGTTCTGGATGAGAGATCTCACTTTACCTCTAAACTAAAGGAACAGACCTGATCCAACTCTCCTCCGGCTGATTGGATCTGTGTGTAAACCAGAGACGGACCCGGTTCAGTGTCGTCTGTCTTTAAAGTTTTCATTCAGTCCATGCTGCTGAAAACCACACGATGAGAGCTGATCTCAGACGCGTTGAAGGGTGAAGCCCGATGTGTCGGGGCACGTTTGTCCCCTTGGCGTGTGTCGGCAGGTGGGAGAGCGGCGCTGAATCATCCGGCGCCGCTCTCTGTTTGGGAACAAAACTGGTTTTGATGCCCTGAAGGCGTTCAGCCCACCTGCTGCATTCCTCCTCGCAGCTTCTTTCCAGGGATTCCTCAGAAGTCAAACCCGGTCCGGTTCGGTGGACCTCTGAGTCCGAGTGAGCGTCTCGAACCTCCTCTGAGATGTTTTACATTTCACACGATGGCTTCCAGTTTACGGCCGAGCCCACAGAAAGTTCCCAAACACACGGAGTCCCCGTTAGCTGCTCTCGGCTGCACATCTGTTTGTGAATCATAGCTTTTGTGTGTTTCTGGGCCTGACCCCGGTGATTAAGCTGGTGAGTAAGCCCCTAACAAGTGTCTGTGTGTTACAGTATCCACAAAACACAAAACATTCATCAGAAACTTCCCACAGGGTGATCCATCAGAGAAGATCACAGCATCTTCAGACTATTCTGTTTCCTACAAGTGATTTTAGTTTTTATGGTGACGTTTGCTCCCAGACGCGCATCATCCTGGGAAAGGGTTGAGAAATGAACCCGCCGTATGCAGCATGCCGTACAGCACCAATGAGCTCAGATTTTCCACAACTAAGCAAGAAGGACGTCATTTAGTCCAGCAGGCAGCAGAGGCTACGGGCTGGGATGAGTGAGAAGTCGTCTCAGAACATTTGGTGTAGATTTTTTATTTGTTTATTTATTATTAGGATCCCTATTAGCTGTGCTTTACACCCAGCTACTCTTCCTGGGGTCCACATCATTAAAAATACAGTATACAATGTAAATTCGTGAACATGTTTGACAGATGACAAGTATCATATAAATATCAATAAGACTGAACATTCAAAGAAAAGGGGAAAATTACAATTTAAAATTTTGAATTTAAACATTTTATGAATAAGTTACAATAAATTAAAACATGAAACTATTTCATTTATAGATAAGTTGCTCCTAAAAACTTCTTAAGTTCCATTTTAAAAGCAGACTTATGTACAATTTTTATGAGAATTAATGGCAATGAGTTCCATTCTTTCATTCCTCTGTAAGTAAGGCCTCCCCTGTTCAAAGAGCTCCACATCTACTCTGAGCCCCTTCCAGATGAACAAGCTAGGTGAGGATTGGAATAGGAATCAACATGCAAATTGACAGTTTTACCTTCCAGCTCAGCTCTCACCATAAAACACCTGTCAGCCATCAGGGAGACGCTGAGATCAGCACGTTACTACAGATCAAAATGGACTTCCAAGACTAGTTTCTATTGTGGGAGAGTAAATCCCTTCAAGGGATGCAAAGGAAACTCTATGTGAAGGAAAAATAATGAAACATAATCAGTCATTTTTCAGGAAGTCATGTCAGTCTGACCAAAACCAGATATTTAAAACCTGCAGCTGAAGTCAATCTACATAATTAAATACAAACATTATTTGTCAAAGTTTAACAATTAAATCCAATAAGGAGTCTGGGAGCATTCTGCATTTTGGCATCCTTTCTTTTCGAAACGGTGTTAGCATCTCTTCTATTAATTTTGATTTATTTAATCTTTTTTTTAAACTTGCAAATGTCCCAGTTTGTGTCTGTGTCTTTTTGCTCTTGGCTGTTATGGCAGTCTTAAATCGTTCAGCCTCTCAGGTAGCCTCATAAACACTGTAACCCAGGGCAGGAGAAGGTCAGAGGAGCCTATCCAGAGATTCCCAGAACAGCTTCTTCCTTTCCTCCCCTCCAGGCCTCTCCATTCAGCAGAGATGAGCTCTGTTTGAGGCGGTCAGTCAGGGAGCTGTGTCCCTCTCTCTGTTGTGTCCTTGGATAGTTTTCAATGTAAATGCAAGAAAAGAAAAGTACAAAGGAGGTTCTGTGTAGATTAAAGTGGTCATTTTTTCTCGTTAAAGTGGTTATGTAAGAGAGAAGAATGAATCTTTTGAATATCAGAGGCCCGAGTACAAAAAAGTGCTCCCTTGTTCCGTTTAATGCTGCGTAATCCCGACCTGAAACGGACCGATACGCACTGTTGGAGCCACTGCGAAACGGGACACTCGTTTTAAAATGCAGGACGAAAGCTGCATCCTGTCAGACACCATTTACTCTCTGAAACCTTTTCACATCCAAATCCACATCCAAATCTAATCATCTGTGTGCAGTCTGCTCACGATGTGGGTGAGGCTTTAACAGAGCTTAGAGCCGTTTGGGCTCCCAGCAGGCCTAATCCTTAAACCGAGTCTCTGCCAAGCCTCCAGCAGCCGGTTTCTCCGGCCGATGGCATGCGGGCTGCATCCTGACTTGGGAAACACTTCACGTACAGTGGGGGAAATAAGTATTTGACCCCTTGCTGATTTTGCAGGTTTGCCCACTTACAAAGAATGCTTATTTTTCCTCATCAGATGGTTATCAATTTTTATAAATTCATATGATGTGATTTTCTGGAATTTTCTTTGGGATTCTGTCTTTCACTGTTACAATGAACATGTGATTAAAGTTATAGATCGTTGCATTCTTTGTAAGTGGGCAAACCTGCAAAATAAGCAAGGGGTCAAATACTTATTTCCCCCACTGTATCTGCTTCTGTGAAACCCTGAGTCTGACAAAAAGAGGTCTTAACTCCAGCTCTTCAATCATGGCCGTTTTTTTTCCCCCCTCTGCAGAAACTGCCATCGTGTGCAGACGTGGTCCAAACTGAGGCCCCCCCCCCTCAGAGAAGAGCCAAATCTCTGGACCGAAGGACCTCAGACACGGTCATGACGGTAAGGCACCGCAGAGATTCACAGATAGGACGCTTAACTAAAGGAAAACGGGGTGAGAGTTCAGGACCGAGGAGCCTCAAGTTCAAGAGCTGCTAGTTCACGTTTATATTTCCAGGAAGCGGCAACTGGAAACCGTGTTTTTATGGTGGTTTCTATGGAAGCATTTTAGCGTTTTACAGTGGAAGGCAGAGGGAACACAGAGTACAGGTTACTGTTTTTACTCACCCCTTATCAAGATTCAATCGACAAGATAAAGAGTTCAAAAAGCTTAAAACTTTTGTTTTAGGCTGCATTCCAGGCTGATTTGATCCCCCAAAAAATGGATTTGCTCATCAGCAAATTAAATTTTCCTTTCATTTCGTGGATCTACATTTACAGTCTTAAGATAATTAGCAAAAGGTATGAAGTCATCCTCCCCTCCTCTTCTTCCTTCATAATTTTTGTGTCTCCTCCGTCCTTCCACCTCTGATCCAGAAATGGTTAAAATATTTTGAGGGATGGAGGAGACACTTTGAGAAGGAACCATTAAATTATATTTAAAAAAATTCTCTGACATCTGGAAGTGGCATGACGTGAATCCCACGTTGAAGCATAACTATTCAAGTTATATCTGCAACATTTTTATTACAGCCGGATTTACTGAACTTCAAGAAAGGCTGGATGGTTAAACTGGAGGAAAATGATCAGGTAAAGTAAGAAAAAAAAAAAGTGTTTTCAAGGGTTTCCCTGAAATCAGATGTTTTCATTTCATTAAAATGTCGTCTGCTCCCTCTAGTGGAAGAAATACTGGTTTGTGCTCTCGGCGGACAGTCTGAGATACTACAGGGACCCCTTAGCTGAGGAGGTAAAGCCCGTTTCTCACAAACTCAAAGAGAAACTGTCACCTGCTCTCTAATGCCTCAGTGTCTCCCTCCTCCTCTTTCAGGCCTCAGATCTGGAGGGTGAAATCGACCTAGCAAAGTGTTACAGCGTCTCAGAGTATCAGGTGCAAAGGAACTACGGCTTTCAGATCCACGTAAGACCTCATTCCGGCTGCTGTCTAATCCAGTGTTTTTCAACCTTTTTTGACCCTAGGTAACTTTTTTCATTGAAAAAATCACGAGGCACACCACCAACCAAAAATGTCAAACAAATCTGTAGCCGCCTATAGTAACACTATAATTATTCTTATTTTATCCTTATCTTATTTTAAGTGTCTTGAATAGGAATCAAATAAACACAAAAATGTATTTTTATCACATTTTATATTTCTTCTTTTAAATTGCTCTTAACATGTCCACTTCAATATACAAAATTATATACAAAATCTAGTCATAAGGAATTATTACATGATTACTCCACCAGTCACTAGAACAGCACAGACACTCAAAAATGGCATACTATTTGCAGATAATTAATTCCTTATCAAAAAATCTTTTTAGACCAATTATATGAAATGGGATGATATTCTACAGCACACCTGACCATCACACTAGTGTGCCGAGGCACAGTGGTTGAAAAACACTGGTCTAATCTGCCGAATAAACAAGTCTTTCAGTGATACGTTTAAATGTCGCAGACTCTGAGGGGCGTCTTCACGCTGTCGGCCATGACAGCAGGAATCCGCGAGAACTGGATCCAAGTGCTGATGAAGAACGTGCACCCAGCCAACGCCCCTGATGTCGCCAGGTGAGCGGCCACAGTTTCCTCAGCAGCAGCTAATGTTCAAGTTACTCCGTTCTGAAGATCTGAACGGATGCTCAACTGACTGGTCGAAGAGTTAAAAGACATAGAATTAAACCCTTTAAAGCCCGATCCAAGAAAAATAGGATGAATATTGGATTTTTTGGAAGTCTTTCTTTGGCCCCTCAACAACATATGAAGAAAAAAAACAGGAATTGTTTTGATCAAATTGGCGTGCAATAAGTCAAAGATATATTTTGGTGTAGTCTTCTACTGGCTGTTATCAGGTATATCTGAATGTGTACAACAGGGGTTTGAGCAAAGCTTTTATCACTGAATGATGCAAAAAGTCTCAGATCCAAAAGACTTCAGAAACCGTACGTATCAAATATGATACATTTGGCATTATAGGGTTAATTTATTATATGTCTTATAATGAAAAGGTCCTCAGAGCTCCCAGACGCTTTGAAAATACTTTTTAAAAAGATCTTTATATTCAGCCAATTGTCCAGAACTTTCTTTAAAATGCTCCATATAGTTTTAAAATAGACCTCCTAGTTCCACCCTGGATAATTTCTGACCTTCTAACCCCTTTGGTGTATTCTCAGTTTACCCGGCCCCCCCGAGGTCCTGCCCAAACCAGATGTGACGCAGGACTCTGACGTAATCACGGACCGACGCCCCCCCGCCAAGCCCCGGAGCCTGAAGGAGGAGAGGCAGGACGGAAATCACACAGCCTTCGACTGGGCCGAGTTCAGGCCTCAGGCCAAGCTTACGGCGGAGGCCGAGAGGCAGGAAACCGGCCCCCCGCGCTCCCTGGAGCTGGACTACCAGGAGAGGCGGAGGAGGCGGGAGGAGAGGAGGCAGCGGTACGAGAGAGAGCTGCTCATCTCTTTTGGGCGGGAAGAGAGCGGGGAGAAGGTGTCCGACGGCACCGAGCGAGCTCTGAGTCCAAAGTCCCAGCGGAGGGTGGAGGAGGAGATAGAGGAGTGCTGGAAGCAGGTGGAGAGGACCGTGTTCAGGGCGGAGAGGACGCTGCCCCTCAACTCTGAAGCCAGAGACACAGCAGAGGTGGAGGAGCTTCTTCTTCTTCTGTTTGCTCTCCTGCTTTAAACCTCAGTGTCTGTTTTTCTACCTTCAACCATTAACTCATTGACTGCCAGCCATTTTCAGAACAGAGAGTCCCATACTGCCAGAGTTTTTTGAGCATTTTGACTGATTTTTCAAGAGCCACAGAATAGTTTGTGCTATGACCATGTAAACACCGAACACACCAAAAGAAAGAGTAGACTCTCTTCTTTCATCAGGAAAAAAAATGTTGTTTCTACCTTATTCCGTTCTTCCTCGACGTGCGTCTCACCGGCGCCATTTCTCGCATAGCGAACCATTGCGTTTTTTTTTATTTGCCTACAATCTATGCTCATCTCCCATCAAAAGTTGCACTGCCACCTAAAGGGTCAATTTATTAGTACATACTCTGTTTAGAAGCCTGATATTTACGGACAAGCTTTAGCAGATCGTCCCCCAGCCACTCGCGTTGAAAAACATAAAAGACGTCTATAGACGTCTTTGGCAGCCAATGAGTTAACCAACAAATTGTGTTCTCCTGTTTTAAAGCTCAACAAATGACGATTTTTTTGTTGAGTTTACCTGCTATAGGTGTGTTTAGAAAGTGAGATATTTTAAATGTGATTTGAACTTGTTTTCTTTGTGTTGTTGAAGGTTGAAGATCTGAAGATCCAGCTGGCCGAGTCGGAGCGCCTCAGGCTGCAGCTGGAAGCTGAGCTCACTTCACACAGACTCAGTCAGCAGCAGGTCTGAACAGAACAAACACTCCCTGTTTATTACCCACACTTATCTCATAGTTTTGTTTTGATGAGTGTTTATTGATTAACTCATTGGCTGCCAAAGACGTCTATAGACGTCTTTAATCTTTTTCAACGAGAGTGGCTGGGGGACGATCTGCTAAAGCTTGTCCGTAAATATCGGCTTCTAGACAGAGTATGTACTAACAATTGACCCTCTAGGGGGAAGTGCCACTTTTGATGGGAGATGAGCATAGACTGTAGGCAAATAAGAAAAAGGTAACGGTTCGCTATGAGAGAACATGTCGCCGGTGAGACGCAAGTCGAGGAAAAACGGAATAAGGTAGAGACAAAAAAAATTTCCTGATAAAAGAAGAGAGTCTACTCTTTCTTTTGGTGTGTTCGGTGTTTACATAGTCATAGCACAAACTATTCTGTGGCTCTTGAAAAATCAGTCAAAATGCTCAAAAAACTCTGGCAGTATGGGACTCTCTGTTCTGAAAATGGCTGGCAGACAATGAGTTAAGTGATTATTTAAGTTTGAATAAATCTTATCATTCTGTCTTTTTCCGTTTTTTCCTCAGATGGTTCCTCCACTTCGCTCTGAAGCAGATTTCTGCTCAGAAAACACAAGTAAAACCTCAGTAAACGACTTAAAGGATTCACAGCAGACGAGCACGGAGCAGCGCCTCATCGGAGAGGACGTGACTGACGCGCTCCCCCTCAACTCGTCTTCATCGGCGCCTCGGCTGCCAAACGTCTGTTTGCAACATCTGGAGGACTTTTTTCCTGAGACCGAAGTCTCATCGGCATTGGACGGCCGACATGAGCTGTGTCTGACCGACGGACCGGAGCTAAACTTCGATGCCTGGAACGGTTTGGGCCGAGAAGACTGTCAGCGGCTTTCCAGCTCGGACACAAAAACAAATAACGGCGAGCTCTTTACTCCTGAGAACCCCGCAGGGAAAGATGGCCGCTCTCTGACCGACGTGGCTCCAGACCTGCTGCTGGTGAAGACTCTCTCCAAAGAGCTGGAGCTCCTCTCCCACCAGAACGCAGCCCTCCACCAGCACAACCAGGAGGTGCTGAATCAGCTGACGGAGGCCGACCGCGAGATCGAACGGCTGAAAGCGGAGCTCAGCAGCAGGTACACTGAACCTCACCACCTGCCTGAAGTGGAACAGCAGGAAAAGATGAGATTGGAGGATCTGGAGAAGGAGCTGAGTCTGAGGAACCAGGAGCTCCTGGAGGCCCAGATGCTGATAATGTCCCTGAGGGAGAGCGAAGCTCTGACGCAGCTGAAAAACCTGACGGGGAGCGAAGGATCGGAAGACGAAAACAAGAACAACACGGAGAAAACGGACGGATACCTGCTGCGGTGTTTCGAGGCCACAGAGGCCAAGCTGACGGAGCTGGAGAGGCAGCTGGAGGAGTCACGGCTGAGCTGCAGGGAGCTCCAGCAAAAGAACGCAGAGCTGGAGGAGGCCGGCTCCCTCTGCTCTGAAAGTCTGGAAAAAAAGCTCTGTGAGGAGTGTGAGAGAAGGCTGAACGGAGAGGGAGAGAACAGGACTGTTTCCAGTGAAGACAGGACTGTCTCCAGTGAAGAAAAGATCCGGAAAGTCATCCAGGGGATGCTGCTGAGGCAGAGGGTTTTGGGGAAGCTGCTCGGAGTCATCGAAGGTTTGGGCTGTGAGAAAGAAACCGAGGAGGTGGAGGAGAGTCCCACTGTGGGGAGTCAGCTGAGGCGGGAGGAGGAAATGTGGAGGGAAACCCTCAACAGGCTGAAGGAGGAAACTCGATCGGACGACCCCGTGGACGCACTCGTTCTGGAGGGAGCAGAGTGTCAGATGGTGGAGAGACAAATCTTACTGGCGGGTTATGATCTGCTTCTTCGTGCAGAGGAGGAGAGGGGGGGTGAGGGTGAGGGCGGCTGGTGGGGGTCTGAGGTGGAGCGTCTAAAAGCCGACACGCAGAGGAAAATCTCCCTGCTGCTCCGGATCTCCTCGCTCAGCGTCTCCGAACTGGACGGCCTCCGACCGGCAGCAGACAGGCTCTACCCGTCCCTCTCAGAGCCCCCCGGCCCCGCCCACATCCTCCACCCCACAGCCATAGAGACACTCTCCCGCTGTCGACTGAAGGAAAAGAGCGAGAGACCCCCCTGTCCCAAATGCGTCTCCCTCCTGGAGGAGAACCGGCAGCTAAAGGCAACATGGCGTCCCTCAAAGGATGTGATCTCCACATGCTGCCAGACGGAGGAGAGCCGGGACCCAGACTCTGAGGAGATGGAAATCCCTCCTTTAGGAGAGCACAAACTCTCAGAGGAAATGGATGAAGAAGGTGAAGTTTTGAGCTGGAGAGGAAAAGTGAAGGAGCTGGAGGAGCAGCTGTTTGTCTCAGAGGGCAAAACGAGAGAAGAGTTTGAAGAGAAGACGAGGGTTTTGCAGCTGCAGCATGAGGCAGAGATGGAGAAACTGAAGGTGGGTTGAGCAGAGAGGAGCTGTAGCATCTATCGCTCCACAGATGAAAAATACGTTTTTTATTTAGCCGATCCGTTTCAGTTAGTAGGAAACGGGTTAAAACGGATCGTGTGAAATCCTTCCTGCCTGTGGTCATCAATCTGTCCAACGCCTCACTCTGAGAGTCAGACTTAATTATTTACATTATCACCACCACTTATTTTCACCTATATATATATACACATATAGTTATTTATGTATACATTTATCTATATTCTATGTGGAATGTTGTGTACATATATATATATATATATATACAGTGGGGGAAATAAGTATTTGACCCCTTGCTGATTTTGCAGGTTTGCCCACTTACAAAGAATGCAACGATCTATAACTTTAATCATATGTACATTCTAACAGAGAAAGACAGAATCCCAAAGAAAATTCCAGAAAATCACATCATATGAATTTATAAAAATTGATAAAAAAATAAGCATTCTTTGTGATTCTTTGGGATTCTGTCTTTCGTGGGAATTTATTTGTATATGTGTATTTGCCGTTGTTTTATTTATGGAGCGAGTAACAAAAATAATTTCCCTCTGGGATTATTAAAGTATTTCTGATTCTGATTGATCCCGATGCTTCCAGGTCACATGTGAGCGTGGGCTGACCTCCATGGAGGAGTCCCTCCTGAAGGTGGTGGATGAGCTACAGCGTCTCCACCAACAGGAGCTGGAGTTCCTGCGGAGGGAGAAAGACCGGCTGCTGGAGGAGGAGGCCGCCGCCACCGCCATCGGTGGGTAACCGCGCAGAGCCCGAGTCAGAGTTTTTCACAGAAACGCTCACCAGACGAACTCCCTCTTCCCTTTTTTTCAGCGCTGGAAGCCTTCAGGAACGCTCACCGAGTGGAGCTGCAGAGGGAGGTCCAGAGGAGCAGCAGCTATGGAAACGCACAGATGGAGGACGTCCACAGACAACACAGGTAGCCTAGTGCAGTGTTTTTCAACCACTGTGCCTCGGTACACTAGTGTGCTGCGAGTGATGGTCAGGTGTGCCGTAGAAAATCATCCTATTTCACCTAATTGGTCTAAAAAGATTAATTATCTGCAAATAATATGCCATTTTTTAGTGTCTGTGCCGTAGTAGTGACTGGTGACGTAATCATGTAATAATTCCTTATGACTAGATTTTGTATATAATTTTGTTTATTGAAGTGGACATGTTAAGTGCAATTTGAAAGAAGAGATATAAAATATGATAAAAATACATTTTTGTGTTTATTTGATTCCTATTCAAGACACTTAAGATAAGATAAGAATAAAATAAGAACAACTATAGTGTTACTGTAGGCGGCTACAAATTTGTTTAACATTTTTGGTTGTTGGTGTGCCTCGTGATTTTTTTCTATGAAAAAATTTACCTTGGCTCAAAAAAGGTTAAAAACACTGGCCTAGAGGAGCCACCTCCACAGGTGGGCTCTGGAGTCAGGCTACGAAATGACCGATTGACCATACACGCTTTATTGTCCGTGCGTGAGAAAATAAAAAGCTCTCAGCTCCGTGGGGTCGGACTGATTGGAAAATTAAGTTTTGATATCAAATACATGCAAAATAAACAGAGAATAAACAACAAAAAATGAAGGTTTTCATTTGAAATTCATTGTCCCGCCATGTTATCTTGCAGTTTATCATAATTTTTATGAAATCATTCGAGGCATGACGTGGTTGTGCCGCCAAGCGAGATCCTGAAAACGTTTTTAATAATATTATATTATAGCAACGAATATGAGGCAACGTGACACGAGGCTACGAAGAAATATTCAATCCAATCCATTCCACTTTATTTATATAGCACAATTTCAACACAAGGTTTCCAAAGTGCTGCACAAAAATATGTACAGAATAAATAGATAACACAATAGAAGTACAGCAAGAAAAAATGAGGTACACAGTAAAAAAATAAAGTATATAAGTAAAATAAGTAAAAATATGCATGTATATGCATAAAATCAACGCTCTACATGGTGTCAAAAGCCAAAGAAAAGAGGTGGGTCGGATTTAGTCTGCTTGAGCCCACAGAATACTACCAATCAGGCTACTTATGGTCAGGGCTAACAACTCTGAAAAGTTGGTCTGGCTAATACCAGATTCCCACGAATATCGTACCCTCCTGAAGTGTTTAAAAAGATCACCTCAAAGCTCTGGGGTCTCTGAGAAACTTAAATGTTTAGAAGGTTTTATTTAACAAGACAGAAACCAGGGACATGAAAAAGAGCAACGGAGGAGAATGACTTCTGACATTTCCACCTGAATTTCACATTGGTTGGATTCAGTTTAGGGTAGATTTGTAGATTATTTTACACATGAAGATTTCTGTTTTGTTTGCAGGGAGGAGCTGGACTCCTTCCAGCGGGAGCTGGATGCTTTATCGCAGCAGTTCTCTCTCAGATGTCTGGAGAACAGGCATCTGGTCCAGGCTCTGGACGCAGAGAGGAAAGCCTTGTGTCAGTGCCAGCTGGAAAACCAGGACCTGAGGACCAGAAACCAGGTGACAGACCCAGTCCACCCATTCTCTGTGGTCCCAGTAATCCCCAGTATTCGACAGAAATCTAAAACCTGGATCCAAAGACTTAGCCTTGGTGCTTTTCCAGTAATATTAACAGAAATCGGGGGAGTGAAACAGTCCGAGAAGCCATTTGTTTTGGGTTTCTGGTTTGGCCCCCAAGCTCCAAGTCACATGAATGCTACTTTTTTGTCACATCTGTTCTTAAAAATGTTGTTCCTTATTAGTGGCCTCTGCTTGGAGAGGAGAATGATGAATTTGTTTTTACATTAGAAGCATTAGCTATTTGTGTCACACCCACAAACGGAAAGAAAACGATCACAGTGTCACATTCATACGGAGAAAAGCGAGGATTCTCAGACTGTTTATCGTCTTTTTCTGAGCTCTTACTGATGATGTCATTCCACTTCCTGCTGAGGCTTTGAAAGAGGCCCGTTTTTGCAGGAAATGTATTCTAGTTAATATGAAGTTGCATTCTAAAAAAATGTCCAAAACCTCTAAAGGAGGGACTAAAGCTGGGATGTGAGTCTCTGGGTGAACACATGGAAACCTGAATGTTGGTGTTTTTGTGCCTTCCAGGAGCTGAGCGGCCACCTGGCTGCAGAGATCACCAGACTGTGTTCGCTGGCCAAACGGGATGAGCTGCCCCTCGGTCTCGAAATGGACGCCTTCGAGATGGCGGTGGGTTTGTCCTCTGACACTGGATTCTGGATTCACTATACTGGATTCATTACATCATTCATCACATCAAACATAAACTAATATTTCTACATGTGTATGATGTGGACTGTGTGTAGCTTTAATCCTCAGTGAACGCATCAGGTTAGCTCAGATGTCTGTAATTGTTTTGGCAAATATGTGGCCAGTTTAAAGTGAAGCTGTTATTTCAGATCACACTGCGAGTGAAGGAGTCTGAGGTCCAGTGTCTGAAGCAGGAAATAAAGAGTCTGAGGGACGACCTGCAGTCGGCACTACAGGTGAGCAACTCTTTTGTAAAAACAACACGTCAGCTGCTGCTCGATGGTGATGAAACCTGTTCCCATTTCACGGCAGGACAAGAGGAACGCCTCAAAGAAATACACAGACGTAAACACGGAGCTGAGCAGCGTCAGAGCCAAAGCGGACCGGGAGGCCGAGGAGCTGAGAGAGAACCTGAGGCTGGCTCATCACGCTCTGAGAGAGACTTCTCCATGACTCCTCATTATGTCCTATTTGTGATAAAGACACCTGTTTGTATTTAACAATTACTGCCATTATGCATCCTATCAGTTGTAAGTTATTTGATACCCGTCACAGTTTGTATGACCCTGTTTTAAGGCAAATGAATATTTTAAATTAAAACGTTTTTTTTTGTTGCAAATAATTCTACTTAACTTATTTTGATATTAACTTTTCTTTTTATCAATTAAAGTGGCTCTATGAAAACCATCTGTCTCCTTCCCTTTGATGAAGCCTGGTCAAAAAAACAAACAAAAGTAAAAAAGATATATTTTTTTTCTTCAGTCTGGTCAGGTGGATTTAACCATATTTAAGGCCGTGTTAATGGAGGCACAAACAGGGTTGCCCCTGGCTGCTGTTGGCCTCAAGTTTCAACACAAACAACTGGCGAATTTCGGGAAGATGACTCATCCGTTAAACAGCATTTTAATCTCTTTAAATTCCAATAACGAAATGGAATTTCACACCAAACTACACACCAAACTATTATTTTGTAATAAAAATTTACGTAATTATTCAAATGATTTGTCCCCATTTATAAGATGCACTTTTCAGTTTACCGTTCAAACTCCTGTTTATTGAAAGACTGTAAAATATCTGTGGCTGCCAACAAGCTTTAGAAATTCGGAGTCGTGTGTTTTCTTTTACTTAAATCGCTTAGAAACGGACTAAAACCACCATTGACGGTGGCCACAACCGTTAGGCCCTGACGGTTATCAGCCGTTGCCTAGGAACCGCTCCCAACTGGTATTTACTCTGAAGGCGCGTGCCTCACTTCCGGTGTCGCCGTCGTTTGCTCGGTGTCAATTGACTCTGAATGATAAAGGTGTCCATGATGACAACTTTAAAATACTAACAGCAAGTAGGAGGTTTTGACTCTACCTGTTGGATCTACGTCATATAAAATGCCCGCGTGCGAAACCTTCGTCGAGTGTCACCTCCGTTCACGCGCGGCTAACGTCAGCTAGCTAGCTGCCCAGCTAGCATGAACTCGCGCGGCCGCAGCTTTTGTTTACATCCACCGCGTATGATGATGATGACGATGGGCCTGGAGAGGCGTGTTAGCTAACCCCGCTACCCGAGCCAGCCCCAGGAAAGGTGTCACCCGCCTGCCCGCTCTGTCAGGACCGGGGAGGTCCCCCCAAACCGCCGCCACCTGACGGGTAAGATGACCAACGGCTGTTAACCGTCACGGTAATCATTCCATGGTAGCTCGCAACGGGCGTCCATCACTCAGGATCCAAACAGGCCTACCTGTTAGAAACGGGTCTGACAAAACCCATCAGATGGATTATTCAGGCGTTTAAAGGTTTTCTTTAAGCTTCACACGTCTTCTTTTTTGTGTTTAAACTAATCACACTATTCTGTACAAGTTTCTTTAAACACAATGTTTAAGCTTACTGACAAATAAACACCTAAACTGAACCTTAGTATTGATTATTTAACATGTTTATTAGATAAACATTGCACACATCTAAGTAACCTGTTCCACTCTCCTTCAGGTTCCTCTGGTTTGAATTAACTAAATAAAGTAAAACAGACGTGCTGACAAAGGTATAAAGGTTTAAATTTAATTGACTTCCGTCCTGATCGTGTAAAAATAGCACCAAAAAAATGTTGCTAAATTTCAATGCCATGTTTTAATTAATAACTAAATATACAGCTTATTACTAAAGTTTAGCTGCTTTTTTATTCCAGATAAATAAGTAGTCTTTTTATGTATGTGGTGGGTTTTAGTAGGAAATAAGAAGAAATTTACATTTTAGGATACATTTTGGGTCCTGTGATAGAAAAGAGAGTGGCTTCAATATTTATTGGAAAGTCTGATACCTTTTTATTTGTCAAAATAACATAGATCTTTATTCAGATGTAGTCTAAATGTATCTGTAGCTTTAAACAAGGATAAAATTACCATCTTTAGTCATATTCAGATTTATAATTACATCTTTTTTTTGTTTGTTTTAATTAGTTTTATCTCTGCAGTACAGTGCATTGATTGTAGGATAACCTGTCCCATTTTCCAAAAGTCTTTGGTTTGTGGTTTGTTATCTGATTTGAATCAAAAGCTTCCTGATGAATAGCTTGTTGTTGCTGATACTTCACAGATTGAACCAAGAGTTAAAAGTACAAACTTAAAACAAAGTCTCCACGATCTGTGGGGTAGTCCATCTCAGAATACTTTATACATGGACCTGGCCCACAGGGAGCCTTTTTGTCTTTAAGACGTGAAGATATGCAGGAAATCCTCCTTTTTATGAATCGTTGTCGGGAGAAGCGGATAAAACATTTAAGGTTTGTTTAGTAGTTTAAGGTTGGTTTAGAAGTTAGCCTTACACGTGGCTCTCTACACACTTTAGTGAACTAGTTTCAGTGTTTTTTTTGTTTTTTTTATTTTTTTTTAATTCATTTGTTTATTTGATAGGGACAAGTATGTTTCATGAAACATGTCACACACTACAACATTTTGGCTAAGGCTAATTCTCAATGCCTCTCTCCCATCAAAAGTGCCACTTTTGATGGGAGATGAGCATAGACTGTAGGCAAATAAGAAAAAACGCAATGGTTCGCTATGCGAAAAATGGCGCCGGTGAGACGCACGTCGAGGAAGAACGGAATAAGGTAGAAACAAATGTTTTTTTCCTGATGAAAAAAGAGAGTCTACTCTTTCTTTTGGTGTGTTCGGTGTTTACATAGTCATAGCACAAACTATTCTGTGGCTCTTGAAAAATCAGTGAAAATGCTCAAAAAACTCTGGCAGTATGGGACTCTCTGTTCTGAAAATGGCTGCCAGTCAATGAGTTAAAGTATTCTTCTTCTTCTTTTTCTTCTTCTTCTTGAATGTGTCTCCGTGTGCTGCTCAGTGATGGAAGTCTCCCCTCAGGACCCGCCCCTCATGGCCATGGACCTGTCTAAGACCTACGCCCCCCTGACCCCCGAGGTCCTGGACCTGGGAAAGAGGCCGGAGTGGTACCACCGCCCCTCGCCGTTCCGGGCCTCCTCTTCCTCCTTCAGCCCGGCGCCGCCCGCCCCCCCGCCGCCGCCCCCCGACCCGCTGGGCGCCGCCGGCTACATCAACCCCGCGCTGGACCTGGACCTCTATCGCCACGGCAACCACCTGTGGCACGCCGCCGGTTTCTACGGCGCCGACCAGGGCGGCGTCCCGGTGCCGGAGAGCAGCGGCGGCGAGGAAGAGGAGGAGGAGGAGGAGGAGGAGGAGAGCGAGGACAGCGGCGAGGACGTCATCTTCCTGGTTTCCGCGGCGAAGGAGCCGCTGCTGTGCGGCGCCTTCCTGCAGGACGGCGTGCGGCGCCTGGAAGATGGCGGCGGCGGCGGCGGCGGCTGCTACCTGCTGAGCTCGCCCAGCCCCGACAGCTCGTACTCGGACGAGTCCTCCGGAAGCTCGCTGGACATCCCGGTGCACCACGCCCGGCCCGTCGTGCTGCTGTCCGACCTAAATGTGTACGGGAACGCCGCCGACTACGGGAACGCCGCCGACTACGGGAACGCCGCCGACTACGGGAACGCCGCCGACTCGGCCGTGGACGTCTCCAGCGACGACAGCGACGTCATCGAGATGGCGGCGAACGACGTAGACGACGGCGAGGACGATCCCGACCGCGACCGGACGCCGCCGTCGGGGATCCGGCGCAGCTCCCGGATCCGGAACGCCACGCCGGAGAGGCCCCGCCTCCGCGGCGCCGCACGCCACAGCCTGAAGCGGCGAGCAAAGAGCGAGGCGGTGGGAATCTACAACGAGAGCTGCGACTCCGAGGACCTGATGGAGTACGCGCTGCAGCTGTCCGGCTCCCAGGAGCCGCGCACGCCGCCGGGCGCCGCCGGGCGCCACGGCAACTCGGAGGAGTCGGAGGCCGACGCCCACCGGGCCCGCCGGGCGCCACGGCAACCGGAGGCGCCTACGGACGCCGCCAGTCCCCAGCAGACTCAGCCCACGCCAGTGGAAAAGGCGAGGAAACCCGAACAGAAACGGAAACCCGATCAGAAACCCGGCGGCGGCGTGCCGGCGCGGCGCCGCCAGAAGCCGGCGGCGGCGAGGAGGAAGAGGCGGCGGCGCCTAAACGCGGGCGCCGGCGCCCCGTTTCCCCCCCGAGAGCCGGAGATCAACCTCAAATACGTCCGGGAGCGCCGGAGGGAGCGGCGCCCGGCGGCGGCGGGATTCTGCCCGTTCGTTCACGTGGAGCGCCGGATGTGCCGCGTGGTCAACTACCAGGAGGACGCCGCCGCCCCCCCGACAACGCCGCCGGCGTGCGGCTTCCTGCCCGGATCTTCCTGCTTCCGATTGGGCAGAACCCGCCCCGACGGCGTTCCCAACGGCGGCGTTCCCGACAGCGGCGTTCCCAACGGCGTTCCCGAGGCCCCGCGCTGCTGCCTTTGTGGCCAAACGGCGAACGCCACGGGTCTGGGAGACCTCCACGGGCCGTA